GTATACTGACTGGATTACTGATTATATTAACTAACTGTTCTTTTTTTGCTGAACAGTGCTACTATAGTTATGTTTTCAAGAGTTTTTATCTTTTACAAATACATATTGAAATATCTGTAGATAAAATAATATATGATGTCAGGGGTTGGCTTCAAACTAATATGGGATGGGGAGTGAATGGAGATGTAGGTGATGTCTTGAGTTGATAACTGTTGAAGCTGGGTGACAGGTACATGGGAGTGTCTCATATTCTATTTTCACATGGTTTTGAAATTTGGCACAGAAAAAAAGAGAAAAAAAATAAATATATGGCACTAAACCTGGCATAAGACTTATAGACAAAGAATTTGAAGTTCAGAGAATTTAAATGAACTAATATGATGACAAAATCAGTAAGAGACTACTGGAACTGTTTTCTTGATCTCAGGATTATGTTCTCTACACATTACAATCAAAGAAGTGCTGTCCTGCTTAAAATGTTTAATGAACCAACTTATAATTGCTACTCCTGACAAGAGTAAATTCTTCCATAAAGAAGCATCTAGAATACCTTTGTTGGGTCATCAAAATGTGTCAGTCACCATTCTAAGCTTTTCACATGTATTAATTCCTCTCATCCTCAGAGTAGTATGATGAGGTGGGCACTGTTATTATTCCCACTTGACAGATGAAGAAATCTGAGCACATAGAAACTAAGCCCAAGGCAAGATTTAAACCTTGGCACTGTTTCTTCTTACATACTGTTTTACTGCCTTACTTATAAACTCCTAATTTCTTAAGCTTATTAAGGTTTTAACTCAAACAAGACACTAAAAAAGTGTAGAACAGAAACCTAAAAAGGATAGATCACATACAAAAACAGATATATGATACATACACACACTATGCAGATTAGATACAAAAGTACATGAGGGCTTTAAAATGAAATAAAGAGGAATCCGTGGAACAATCATTCTCTCATTTATATAATAGCAGTATTGATTCTTCATCCCCCACAGTCCTGCCATTCTTTGTTTTTATACCACCAAATTTACTTAGGAGCAATCTAGGCCAAGTAACTGGATTAGTCAATATTGAATAAATAGTCTACATTTGAAAAATTATGTAACATTCTTTTTACATAAATAACTACAATATAATGATAATGTTAGATAAAATTAAAATAAAATCTAACTCTCCATAGTCTACAGCAGCTTCACAACTTTAGATTCTGAACAAACCTAACAAAGGTCAAACTGTGAGTTTAGTAACTACTTAATTGACACCTATGCTACAAAACAGTGCTGAAATCAGTTGGGAGGCAATTATCTGCTACAATGAGAGCAAATAAATGATGAACAGAAATGAGAATTGTTTTAATATATATATGTATAATTATATAATATATACAAAGATATTTTTTGTAAAATGTGATTTATGAAATTAGGAAAATATTTTATCACAGCAACACTTCAAAATTTTTGACAGTTCAATTCTCCACACAGAAGAATTCAACTAATGATGGCATAAAAATTTATTAGTGAGCCTATGGAACATGTTGGCATATTTTCCTTTTCTCTGAGATTGACTTTCATTATATCTGGGAAAACAAAAGCAAACTTAGAAGTCTTGTTATAAATCATTATATCATGGATTCAGAAATTACACAGGAGAATGTAAGTCCCCAAAGCCATTACTATATCTAGTAAAACATCAAAGTTACATAATCAGCCTATCCACTGAAAAATTGGTTGCAATAGTTGTGAAATTACAGATTAGTGCTTAATATACAATAAAAATCGGATTTCTGTTTAAAATTATAGTTTCTAGTCAGAAATGCACAATGGCTTTGTAACATAAACCTAAGCAAATGAAATATATCACTGATACACATCAAGAAAAGCTGTTTAATCTTACAAATAAGAAAATAATCCCGTAATTTCTGAGCCTTATTAAAGTTTTGGCTCACACAAGAAACTAAAAAAGTTCAGAGCAGAAACCCAAAAAGGAAGATTAAAATTATGTAATAAAATAATAAGCAGTAAAAGATATGAATGATGAATAATGGACAAATCTTACTTTACCTGTAGCTTCAATACTCTCCTCCACAAAAATTTTGCCAAACTTTAAGTTGCTATATTGACTAATTTGAGTTTAACTTTCTTTGTCCAATTACTTTCCAACAGAAATATACATAAAAATGTGCCACAGTACACCATGATTAGCATGTATAATTTGGGGGTGGGCATGGGGAGGGCTGTACAACACAGAGAAGACAAGCAGTGATTCTACAGCATCTTACTACGCTGATGGACAGTGACTGTAATGGGATATGTGGGGGGAACTTGGTGATGGGGGGAGTCTAGTAACGTAATGTTCCTCATGTAATTGTAGATTAATGATAACAAAAAAAAAATGAGCCATAGTACAAATGTAGCTATAACTTCAAAACCTTGTTATGAGGATTAAATGAGTTAATATTCTAGTCAACACACAATTCCTAGAATTCCCTGGATTCCTAGAATTCAAGTATAAAGTTTTTGAAAACTATGCTTTGTAAAAGATAAATAGAATATAAATTAAATGGATGAGATTTATCTCCCACAAAATAACTCTAAAAGATAATTAGTAAGATGTGTGATTCTGGTAAAGTCCTATTTCATAAATATTCACCATGGAGAACCACTAATGCATCTTCCAAGTCTTTATCAAGGAAATTTAACCTAACAGAAATATAGTAAGTTGCAATCTATAACTTAGTGATCTACAGGGTCCTGAGAAAAGAGGTCACAACAAAGACTCATTTTGCTTTGTCCCAAGAAAAAAGACTTGATAACTGGTTGGTTTAAGTATCCAAGTCCCTTGAAAAGTATTCTCTTTAGAGAGAAAGGGTAATTTTTAAGTTTCTATAATAACTCTGATGATAAAATATTTAAGACTTTCCACATTCCTTTTCTTTGATTCCATGATTACCACTCATCCTCTACTTATTAACTTGGCTTCCCAAGTTCTTGGCCATAGGAAAGATTGGCCTGGATTTTCAACCTAAAATTTCTGATTACTGGAAAGGGTTATCTTCTTACCAACATAAACTGGGATTCTAATGTGTATAGGTACATCATTCTCCTATTTCATTTAGTTTGAATTGGGTTCCTGAAGTCTGAACACATGTGAGTAAAACTATAAATTTGAGCTTCTTACATTGGAAATTTGAGAACAAGACTTTCTTTCTTATTGACAACTGCTACAATCATCCCTCAGTTTTCACTCCCCTACCCCTAAAAATGGAAAAAAAAAATTATGGGTTTCTTGGACAGAAGGGTGGAAGGCCAGGGTGTGTGGGAGGGTGGGGGAGTACTGAAATATAGCCAAACTAAATTTATGCAGATTCATTTAAACCCCAAAATGATTAACACCAAAGCAGTAACCTAGAACCTAAACCAAAACATAAGGATGCCAGTTTACATAACCCTCATTGATACGTACTCTATTTCCAAAAGAAAAAAAAAATTTGTGATATTCAATCTTTAAGAAAATATACAGAAATTATTTTTGAACTTGCATTTTCCAGCAACATAATTTATAAAGCGTTTTGGCATTTGTGACTTAATTATTCTAATACTTAAAAATATTTAAGAGACATCCCATGTGGTACCTCTAGAGTAAGGAACACTTGTATTTAAAGCGCATAAATTAAAGACTTTATAAATACTCAAACTTTTCTCACTGGGTCATTCAAAAGTAATTGTGCTATCCTTCAAAAAAAAAATTATCTTCCACAATCCAAAGAATTTAGCCTCACACCAGATACTTGAGCTTTTCAATTGTGTCCGCTTATGTTTCATGTACAAAAAGAAAATGCTTACCAAATTCACAGTTCACCTAAAACAAAGAAATGTCTATTATTAGCCCGTAATCTATATGGCAGAATTCTCTTAGGGCAGTGATGCCAAGAACTTCTACTGCAACTGAAATTGCCTTTGCAATCTCCGTTTCCAGGAGACTGAAAGGCTGCGGAGACGCGTCAGGATCCAGCAGGGAGGCTGGGGCGGCAGAGGAAACCGGGGCAAATAAAGAGTCCCACAGAAGGGCTGCATTGATTTTGAGAACGGAGTGGGTAAAGGATGAATCCCACAGAGGTACTACATTAGGAGATTTTGAGAATGGAAGGAGAGTCCCACAGAGGGACTGCATTAGATTTTGAGAACGTGTAAGGGAAAGGCGGTCAGGTATAGGGAAAAATAGATTTGTTTCCAGATTACGAACTTTAAGTGAGGAGAGTAAGGAAAAATGACAAAATTATTAACTCCCAGTAACCAGAAGAGGTAAAAGGAGGTAGGGAGAAGGCGGGAGAGAAAAGGCCTCAAAGACCAGGACTTGAAAAAAAGTACATGAGCTTTGACTTGGCCCAGGTCTGGATCTCCTGTCCGGGTAACCGGACAGCAGGAGGAAAGGATCGAACTTACTCTGGGTTGTAGAGCAACGCGTTTGCAACGGTAAACGAGCCCTGCACAAGATGTCGCCTCTCTCCCTGCAGGGTCCCGTTCATTTCTTTACCTGTCACTGCAGCACCGGCGGCTCTCCGGGAGAACTCTGCCAAAGCCTGCGCTGCAGGACGGCAGAAAAAAAAAATACCTGAGTACCAGGAATCACGCCAGCAGCGACAGGAGGAGGAGCCGTGGACAACCGGGCAGGATCCTGGCTTGCTTATAGTCAAACCCCAATTCTTACGGTAGGGCGGAGAACTTCCGCCCTGAGCGAGGAGAGCGTCACTTCCGCCCAAGCTTTTACCCTTCTTCGCCTGCAGGGCTGTAGATATGTTCGCTCTATTCGCTACGTTAGAAACGTTCTTCCTTTTCCTAGGGATTTCGGCTGTTCTTAGCACCTGACATAGACTACATGATCCAGCACGCATCACGGCAGATTGACTTCCGGGTTAAGAGGACCGCGCTGGGTACATCACCATGGAAGCGATCGATTTTGTCACGTGGTGCTCTTGGTTACGCCCAGTGGCAGTGTGGGGAATGGGGCTCGGACGGGGGCCATTTTGCCGAAGGCATCCTGCGGGAGTCAGGAACAGCCTGGCGGCAGGCTGAAGCCATTCCTTTTCCTTCTTTGCAGCTTGGGGCTTGTAGAGGAACAGAAAGGCCGGGCTCCTTCGAGCCCTCGGAGACGATGGTGTCCTCCAGCCTCCGCCACCTGACGACGCTCTATGGCGGCGGCTCCCTCCGCGCTACTCTTCCTGCCACCCCTTCCAACTCTCTTTGCTTACCGCCTCCAAAGCCCCGGCCGTCTTTCCTCCGCAGAGACTGATAGTCCAGGTGGGGACACCATGAGAGGCGAGAAAAACTGCTGCCGTGGAGCTGCTGGAGCTTCCTGCCCCCCGACACCTTCACCTCTGGCGCCTCTGTCCTCAACTCTCTTGATGTCCGCGGAGGCAATCTCCAGTAGTTGGTCCGGGTCTGGAGGTGGTTTGTCAGGGGGAGATGAAGAGGAGACTCGGCTTCTTCAACTCCTTCGAACCGTGCCAGACCCTTCCGAGGCCTTCCAGTCTTTGCAGGCTGCTTTGCCGCGGCGGGGCGGTCGACTAGGCTTCCCCCGAAGGAAGGAAGCTTTGTATCGAGCCCTGAGCCGAGTCCTTGTGGAAGGAGGTAGTGATGAAAAGCGACTCTGCTTGCAACTCCTCTCAGACGTTCTCCGGGGTCAAGGGGAGGCAGGCCAACTGGAGGAAGCTTTTAGTTTAGCACTTCTGCCTCAGCTAGTTGTTTCTTTGCGAGAAGAGAATCCAGCCTTGCGGAAAGATGCGCTGCAGATCCTGAACATATGTCTGAAACGTAGTTCTGAACAGGTGCTGAGAACGCTTATACAGCAAGGACTGGAAAGTAGTGATGCCCGGCTTAGAGCTTCCACAGCACTACTATTTCCTGTCTTGCTTACTCCTGAGGATTTGTTGCTCGGCCTAGACCTTACCGAGGTGATAATATCTCTAGCCCGGAAGCTTGGCGATCAGGAAATAGAAGAGGAATCTGAGACAGCTTTCTCTGCACTTCAACAGATTGGGGAGCGACTTGGCCAAGAGAAGTTTCAGTCCTATATCTCTCGCCTGCCGTCTGCTCTGAGGAGACATTACAATCGCCGCCTGGAGTCCGAGTTTGGGAACCAGTTTCCTTATTATTTGGAACTTGAAGCCTCAAGATTTCCTGAAGATCCCCTTCCTTGTGCAGTGACTCTTTGCAACAACAATCTAAAATTTGGGATTATTCCTCAGGAGCTGCATTCAAGACTGTTAGATCAAGAAGATTATAAGAACCGAACTCAGGCCGTTGAGGAACTAAAACAGGTGATGGGACGATTTGACCCTAGTTCTACCCCTCATTCTAGTCTTGTTGGTTTCATTAGCTTGCTGTACAATTTGTTAGACGATTCTAACTTCAGAGTGGTCCATGGTACACTTCAGGTCCTGCATGTACTGGTTATTCGCCTTGGAGAGCAGGTGCAACAGTTTTTGGGACAAGTTATAGCAGCTTCTGTCAAAGTGCTGGCAGACAACAAATTGGTGATCAAACAAGAATACGTGAAAATCTTCCTGAAGCTAATGAAGGAAGTAGGTCCTCAACAAGTGCTTTGTTTACTCCTGGAACATCTCAAACATAAGCATTCCAAAGTGAGAGAGGAGGTGGTGAACATTTGCATCTGCTCCCTCCTGACTTATCCCAGTGAGGATTTTGATTTACCCAAACTGTCTTTTGATCTTGCCCCAGCTCTTGTAGATAGCAAACGCAGGGTACGCCAAGCAGCTCTCGAAGCCTTTGCTGTGTTGGCATCATCCATGGGCTCAGGTAAAACCAGCATCCTTTTCAAAGCTGTAGATACTGTTGAACTGCAGGATAATGGAGATGGAGTGATGAACGCTGTACAGGCCAGATTGGCTAGGAAAACCCTCCCAAGGTTAACAGAACAGGGATTTGTGGAATATGCAGTACTTATGCCATCATCTGTCCAAGGTAGGTCAAGTCATTTGGCACATGGAGCAGATACAGACTGGCTTTTGGCTGGTAACAGGACTCAGAGTGCACACTGTCACTGTGGTGACCACGTGAGGGATAGCATGCAAACTTACGGATCTTACAGTCCAACTGTTTGTACCCGAAGGGTTTTAAGTGCAGGAAAAGGAAAAAATAAATTACCATGGGAAAATGAGCAGCCTGGAGTCACGGGAGAAAGCCAGACCTCCAATTCCAAGGATATAGAACAGGTATGCATCTTCTCTAATTTCCTTGAGTTGAAACTAGGAAGAATTTAAAATGAAAATATTCCTGTAATGACTTAGGATGAGGCTGCTGAGGGTCCTTAAATTTTGTTTTTAAATCAATTTGAATGCTGATGTAGGGCACAGATCACATATGGTACAGATCTAATAGACTTCCTGCTTGATGGATTTGATTAGGTTTGAGGCACAATGTGATATATTCAATACCTGGATTTTGGTTTTGGCCTGTCACTTTGGCATGTTATACTATTCATACAACAACACTGAATACCTCTTAGATGCCAGATACAGAGCTAAGTTCTCGGAATAACGGTGAGACCAGTTCCATGAAGTTTAGGGAAAAGGTCACACCTGTAAACAGGCAGTTAAAAATTTGCTGAGTTCTGAAAATCGAAATATAAAGTGTCCTGTGGGAATACTGAAAATAGAAAAAAATAATTACACTTAAAGTCAAAAAAGTCTTCTGAGATGTGACATCTGAACTGAGATTTCTTCCCCTCAAAAGTTTTTGTTTTGAAAATATGACAGCTACAGACAAGTTAAAAGAATTGTACAGAGAATATCCATATACCTTATCTGTATGTACCAGTTATCATCATCTTGTCATATGTGCTCCATAGTTGCTGAGTCATTTGAAAGTAAGTGCAGATATCTTGACATGTCACTCCTAAATATTTCTGCATTTATTTCCTAGAATGACTTTCACCTTTATAACTAACCATCATATCATTATCATACCTGAGAACATAATAGTCATTCAGTAATATATAATATATAGCCTGTATTTAAATTTCTCCAACTGTCCCCAAAATGTGCTTTATAGTATTTGTTTTATTTTTGTCATTCAGGATCCAGTCAGATTCATGGGCTAATATGTTCCTTATCTAGACCAATCTGCCCACCTGTTTGTTTCTTGTTTTTTCAAGACATTGACTTTTTTGAATAGTCTAGGGTAGTTGTTTTGTAGAATTTCCCAAGTTCTTAAGTTATCTGATTGTTTCCTTATGATTATATTCAAGATAAGCAGTTTTACCAAAAATATTACATTGGTGATAACTGAACTTCATGTTACATCACATCAGGAGGCACGGGCATATGGTATCAGGTTGTTCCACTGTTGGTGATGTTAAATTTTACCATCTGGTTAATGTGGTGTAGGCAGACCATGTCATCATAAAGGTTTAGCCCATAATCTGTGGTATAACTTTGAGACCTTATGAATACCCTAACAACCTTTTATCCAGTGTTCTTAGTATTGACCAGTGAGCCTTACCCATACCATTTATTATATTAGTAGAATTGAAAATTATCTTAATGAAGGATAGGGATTAAATATTTAAACATTTTTATGTATGCCATTTTTAAAGTAAATGTATATATTTTTTTAATTAATAAACACTATTTTTAAAGCAATTTTAGTTTCACATCAAAACTGACAAAGTACAGAGATTTTCCATACCGTTTCTACCTCCACACATGCTCAGCCTCTCACCCTGCATCCCAAGGCACTACAGTGGTATATGTTGCAATTGATGAACCTACATTGACACATCATTATCACCCAACATCCACGGTTTTACATTAGGTGTTACACATTTTATGGGTTTGGACAAATATATCCATGCCCAATATCCACCATTACAGTGTCATATAGAGTACTTTCATGGCCTTAAAAATCCTTTGTGCTCTGCCTGTTCATCTCTAGCCCCCTGCTTCCTCCACCTGTTCACCTCCTGGCAACCACTCACTGACCTTTTTATTGTCTCCATAGTTTTGCCTTTTCCAGAATGACCCCTGGTCTGATTTTTTTCTAGCTTCTGCCCAGGCTCTGCTTTAACATTTGCAGTCTCCTGTTAATCTCTTAATTCTGTTTTGTCTACATACAGCATTGGTTAGTGACACTAAACAGCAAAGCTTCCAAAGAAAATCATGAATGTTTCAATTACATACTCCTATACCTTATCTTAAAGATTAATATATTAGTTTGCTAGAAGATGGTTCTTATAGTGTAGTGGTGGAAAATAAGGTTACAAGAGGGAGGCAGGGGCTAGATTGGAGACCCTTGAATGCCAGGATGAAGAGTTTAGCTTGTTATTTCAACAGTGACTTGAGACTGCATACAGGTTTGTTTTTTAAGCATTGTTTTAGGAAATTAATAACAGTAGCAGTGTTAGGATTGTTTTTTTTTTTATTTGAACTAGACACTGGAGACTTAGAAGAGCAATTAGACTTACACTTATTGGTCTACTTTAGGTGTGAGGTATTGAGTTTATGAGGATTAGCAGAGCATCTGGATTAGAGTGGAAAGTGATGGATATAAGAGATATTTAAAGGATTTAATGATTAAGTGTTGGAGATGGAGAGAAAGAGAGATACCTCTAAAATTTGATTGAGGTAACAAAATGCTTAATACATCCATGAATACACATGGGAAGGCCCAGAAAGAGGAAGTTAAATTTGAGGGGAAATGAATTTTAGGTGGAGGAAGATAGAACATTCCAGTTGAGTTCATATTGAAGACTTCTATTGAAGAGACAAGGAAACAACTAGAGGTATAGGTCTTGGAAGTCACATTCTGAGAAGTAATTGCTGAAACAGAATGGATAGGCTTTCCAGTGAAGGGCATACAGAGCAAGAGCAGAGTGCTTAAGACTCAGTCTTGACATATAACCCCATTTAGGGAGTAGCAGTAGGAGACAGAACCAAATAAGGCAGAGAACGGGTGCCTAAGAGTTGGAAGAAAACCAATAAAGAACAAGGCATTAGAAGTGGAGAGTTTGAAGGAAGCGCATCAGTACTGTTAGAAGCAGGAGAGATTGAAGAGAATGAATACTGAGTAGCATGATTTGTTACATTAATTCAGCCTGCTGCTTATAAAATAACTTTGAAGGGACTTTTCTCTTAATTTTCTTTCTTTAATTTTCTCTTAATAATTATTCTGATTGTAAAAAAGTTATGTATGTGCTAATTATAGAAACTTTGGAAAAGATAAAACGCACAAAGAAGAAATTTAAATGTCTCAGCAGCCTTACTACTGAAAGAGGGACTCACTGCAGTAAATATTTTGTTACCTATGCCCAAGTATAATTTCAGTTTATGTATACGATAGTCTTTTTTCTGTACATGAGAGTCTCCCACTTTCACTTACTTTATCATGAAATTTTTTCCATTAACATCAAATTATCTGTAGTAGAATTTTAATGGCTATCTAATATTGAATCATACTATATCATGGCCTGTTTAACTGTTCTCTTACTTTTGACTATTCAGACTTTGTTTTTGTTTCCATCATTTAGTTAATTATTTTTGTGTCCTGACATATCACAGACTGATAATCAGATTCCTATGATACTCTTAACTTTGTCTCTCTTTTTGTGTTTTATGAGTGTTTTAATGAATTAGTGGAGTCAAGTAGTCAGGAATCACTAGCTGGCTACCATATTAGATGTGTTTTTCCTAACAGAGGCAGAGAAAGGAGCCACTTATGAATTCAATGTGTATACTGTGTCTTGTAGGATGGTAGATATTAGGTATGCAAGATACATACAATTCAGTCCCTGTAATCATTTTTGAGAAACTTAACTGAGAGGTAAAAGCAAGGAATTAATGTCCCTGAATAAAGACTTGAATGAGTCAAGAAAGCAGGTATAGAGAGAGGTTAACTTTGGAACAAAGGAGGAAGTCTTTTCCTCTGGAGCTGAAGGTAAAACAAAGAGACATGACTTAGGATACAGAAAAGTTTTTGTTTTTTTTAAGTCAAAGGAAGATATGAGCTCTAGTGCTTCTCAACCTTTGATGTGCATATGAATTGCCTCAGGATCTTGTTAGGATAAAGATTCTGATTCAGTTTGTCTGGGTCTGAGACTATAGGTCTAATATAAATATTGCTTGCACTGCTGAATTGTTGACCACATTTTGAGAGCAGTGCTCTAATATTAAGCTTCCATATTCTGGTAAACTAAGAGACAAGCTGAGAATAGAAAATAGAGGCTCAGGGTATTGGAAAATGTGGGAAGTATTTAGAATCCTTAATATGACAAATTTAAAGGTAATAGAAAGCCTGAAATTATTAAATTGTGCTAATGTATTTGGTGTGAACTTAATCCTAAGAATTGAGATTTTCCTTGGATGTTGAATTGTTTCCAATAAGTGGTCTTCAGTTTTCTTTTTAAAATGATTGAAGAATCTGAGTAAGAAAATCCCTTAGATTTAAAACATGTCAAAATCATGAACAAAATTTGAAACCATATCTAATATCAGCGTAGATGTTGGATTGTTTCCAATAAGTAGTCACTATTTTTTTTGGGGGGGGTGGTCCTTGAAGTATTTGAAAAACTTTTTTTTAATGCTTGTCAAAATCATGAACAACCCAAATCATATCTATTCCCAGGGTAGATGATGTATTTAAAAACTTAAAAGTAATTTTTTAAATAAATTTTTAAACTTTAAAAGCATATTAAATAAGACTATATATATTATATTGATTTTACCATCTTAAAAAAAAGCTTTAACAATTCTCTTGATAAATGGACAAAACATATCCATTATCTTATATACATATTTTTATTTCCCTGTCCTAACTTTTTTACTCTGGGCAGGGTCACTATACCTTAAGTACAACCTTACCCAAAGAAAGCAGCTTCTTGTTTCCTCATAGATAGAGAAAAAATTGTCATTTAACTAAAAACTGTCTTTCATTCTCTCCATGAGAACATGTTTCTTAATCCTTTTTATAATGATTTAAGAGGCAAAAAAAAATGAATTTAACATCATCCAAAGGCATTTATATATGCCTCAACCTGTTTATTTAATGGTTATCTATAATGTATGAGACAAAGGTAAATTAAAATCACATTTATGATCAGTGATTTCCATTTTTACCTGAATTGGAAATTGTTCAGGATCTACAGATTTTTCTCAATTCAATTTTATATTAGTCTAAAATCTTAAAGTTAACTAAGGGTCTGAAAATTACAACATAAGCT